AATCCCCCTCGATCCCAAATCATTGAGGCCAATTTCTAGCCATGGAATAATGGCGAGTTACTCATATGGGAACATTGGGAACACACTCTAGTTCAGCTCACGATTGCGTATCGTATCAGTTTCGAGCGGGCAGCATCGATGTGATTTTCTGAATGCAGCCAACGTTGCAAAAAATCCTGATTTTCTGATTATAAAATTTATTATATTTGTATAAATATTAGACAAGGAAAGATGTCTAAATATTTATATGACGTATGTAAAAAAAAATAAGATTTTATTTATCTAAAAGATAATAGAACAGATACTAACGATATGATGTAAAAATCAACGTTTCGATCACGGGACGGAGGACTGAGTTAGTCTGCTGCCACTGCTAGCCAGTTTAACTTAAAAATGGTAGAATCTCCAAGAGTTTTATCTGTACAAAGTCATGTTGTATCAGGTTACGTGGGAAATAAAAGTGCAGTATTTCCTATGCAGGTAATTATGTGCCAACCTACCTTATTATTTTTTAACTATTGTAGGTACAAATATATTTTTTAGTTGCTCGGATTTGAGGTAGATGCTATAAATTCCGTGCAGTTTTCAAATCACACGGGATATAAGAAAGTTAAAGGACAAATTCTAACCGAAAAGGATTTGTCCGATTTGTTAGAGGGATTATCAGAAAATCAGTTAGATCATTACACACATTTGTTAACTGGTTATATTGGTTCCGTTTCATTCTTAAATAAAATTTCATCTGTTGTAAAACAGTTAAGAGATAGAAACCCAAATCTTATTTATGGTATGCATTCCACTGTTCATTATTACTATATATTAAATAATCGATTTCAGTATGTGATCCTGTGATGGGTGATAATGGAAAATTATATGTACCAAAGGAGCTTATCCCCGTTTATAAAAACTTCATTTTACCTCTTGCGACCATTATCACTCCAAATTTATTTGAAATGGAACTATTAACAGATACTAAAATAACAAACGAGGATGATGTATGGAATGCTATTGACATATTGCATAAAAAGGGATGCGAGACTGTTGTAATTTCGTCAGCAGAATTAGCGGAAGAGTCAAATCTTTGCATTTTTGCCAGCTGTAGGAAAGGTTTGTTCAGATATCAAAAACATTGATTTAAAAAAATTATATATTTTTTAATAATTACAAAATAAAATACCTCAATATACTCTTCTATTCGTAGATATTTCTTGATCTTGTCTTCACACAATTTTAAATTACATCTGTAAAAGAAAATGGAGTTAATATATAATTTCTAGATGCAATAGTAATTATATAATTTTTAGATACAATGGTAAATAAATTGTCGATGAAGATTAAGAAATTGCCTCTAAGTTTTACAGGAACTGGAGATTTATTTGCATCATTATTTTTGTCTTGGATGTATAAAAGCAAAGGCAATTTAAAGGAAGCCTTAGAAAATACAATTGCGTCATTGCAAGCTGTTTTGAAACGTACTGTAGATAGTATTGAAGGTAAATATAAATATAAGTACATAGTTTAAATAAAAATTGTATACAAATATAATTTTTATTTTTAGGTAAAGAAATTAATCCAAGGAATGTCGAGTTGAAACTTATTCAGAGCAAAAGAGACATTGAAGAACCAAGCATTATATATCGTGCTTCAATAATAGATTAACTACTTTATAGACGATACTACTTGTCAGTCTTCCAAGCACTTTTTATATAAATTTTGTTTATATATAGTTTATACACTTGTTTTAGTTTTATGATGATACACATATTTAAATATTTTAAATAAAACAAATATAGTTATATTTACCTTTTATTTAAATACATTTACAGTAATTGCTACAGTTTACAAAAATATGTTTATTTTAGGTAGTAATAAATTAATATTAGTGTTGAGTAACTTACATTTAAAATCTACATAATAAAACTAATGAGTGACAGTAGGTATATTTTGATTCTAATTTTGTATTTAGAAACTACATAAATTGGATAAGAACATTTTTTGGCATTAACCAATGTATACGAGCCCTAACAACTAAATAATAATGTCACAATCTTAGAATAAATGTATTCCAACATTAGTTTCATTTTAAAACCATTTTATGTAACATTTTGATGACCATTTTACAGAATAGGTAACTAAATTTGTTCTAATCTGTAAACTCTTCATAGTAATATTTTATCAACAACTAAATATTCTGACGCATTTTTTGTGTTTGTAATGTTTTCGCAATAATATATAAAACACGTGTAGCTCAACCTTTACAAAAGTGTGAAAAAATAACTTGATAATATGAGCGAGGGAAATCAATTAAAAAAATTACTATCCAATGAATGTGTCAAAATTTACTGTTGCAGATATAATTAATACGTACCGAGAAACTGATAACGTAGCATTTCTAGTCAACTGCCTAAAATGACAGAAAGGACATAAAAACATTTAACATCTGCAAGTGCCAAAGGACTATTATGAGATAAATTACCACAGTGTGAAATTAAGAAACAGACAATAACGTATCAAACAAATGTCATTGTAAGTGGATATACTCGATTCTGAAAACAGTTTTTACGAAATATAGTACACCTAGAGGCAACAATTATTAAGGTCGAAAACTAAATAAAGATTTTTTTCATAAAGTAAAAGAAAAACCAATGGATAACAACTCCAGAAGCGTTTCATCTTGGGTTAAATTGAACGCTGCTTGGACAAGTAAAGACTGGGCTTAAGTAATTTTCATTAAACTAAATTTAAAACGTGTGTTGAAGATTTTCGTAATCATGTGGTATAAACAGTAAGTAAAGACTTCAACAAGGAGTATTTAAAACATACAGTGAAATTCCCACAAGAGGATCGGCAAAGGGGGTAGGAAGACTTGAGTTCATTCAAGGCACCATTAATGCAGATAAATATCGGGATATCTTGTCATAGAGAATTACTTACTGCCCACAACAGTGGGACTGTCATATGGCCACTTACAAATTAAAAATAGTTTAGAGACAATGTTATTAAAGTCTTGAGTTGATTGCCAAGCAGCCCCGACCTATACTGAAACATGACTTCGTAGGGGGCTCGTATACTCTTAATTTTCTAATATATGGATGTACTTTATTATGGAATTATAAATTATTATATTATATTACGAAAATTTTAATTTTTTTGTTATATTACTTAACTTGATTACCCTGTTCGATTTTTATATGAAAAAAAATAGTTTTATACAATCTCGTAATATATGCAGATATTACTAAATTTTTTTTAGCATAGTAGTGGCAGTTGGTAAAAAAGTGGTCATGTGATGTTAAAGCGCGAGACCGTTTTTTTAGGTGAAGCTTTTCATGGACCATGTAGAGAACTTTCATGAGGAAAAAATGTCTAATGAATTTTTGAAACTTTGCTATGTGATAGTTCTGATCGTGTGGATCAAAAGTCTCAATGTGCATAAAGTCTGAAAATCCTTTGTTTTGGACCAAAGAACCCTGAAAGTTGATTTTTTTTCCTTATACTGCATAGTAAGAATACAGTAATGATTATTTTTTGTAGAATTACATTACATTAATAGGAAATGGACCTTACCCGATCAATTAGAGATGTATTCATCTTCCGGTTCCGACCGGAAGTAGCCTTTCATGGGAATTGGCGCACAAGGCCAACTTCAAAGGTCTTTTAGGGTTCAAAATACACATTTTAGAAAAAAATGTTTTAAACAAGTTTCACATTTTTCGGTGATGTTGAAACGAAATTCGCAATAAAATAATACTACTACTATTATATGGAAAAACTGACTTCCGGTCCGAATAAGCTACTTCCAGTCGGAACCTGAAGTTGAAAACATCTCTTAGGCAAGGTCCATTTACTATTAATTTTACAAAAAAGAATCATTGCTGTATTCTTACTATGTAGCGTGAGGGGAAAAAATTCAGGTTTCATGGGTCCAAAATAAAGGACAGCAGCACAGCTGTGTGTTGTTGAAATGCCCTACTGCCTTTGAGAGGTGGTAACTGCAAATTGTCTTCACACCTTGTATGGTATAAATGTATGATGATAAAAGGTTTGTTACATTTTTATTTTAATCTTCAACTTTTATCGGTTTACGATAGGGAGTTCGTAAAGTGCTTTTGTGTGGTGTATATCTTTACAAAGTGATTTATTTCAGTATTTAGCAATGGTAAAGTGTATTTTTGTTTTCATTTTTAAGTTTTCGTATGATAAGAGAAAGCATGTATATGAATCAAGAAATAGTTGATATGGTTAGAACCTACATGGTGTCCATAAAAACAGGAGACGATATTAGATAGATTATCCCAACCGTCAAGTACCAAATAAGAATATGCTTGTAAGATTGTTTCAACATTTATGAAATTATAGGAGCTTTGAACGCAAATACATTAATGTTGGAGTGGAACAAACTCAGAGAATGAGATATTTGAATTTAAACACTGTGGAAAAGGATCTTGGTACCAGTACTCAAAGATTAGCCACAAAATTTCAGGGCTGTAAAAATCAGAGGAGTAAATAGACTATTTACTTATTTTTGTGTATTTCATTTATCATTATTGATTACTACTTGAGTTTTCTTTTAGATTGCTTGTTAAGGGTGCCATATTCTTTAAATAGTGTTTTCCACAAAGACAAATAATTTCAAACATTTAATAACTGAATAATGTAAAGCTTATCAAATAATACAAATGTTGTGTCATGCCATCTGGGTATTTTCAAAGACACCGCAGTAAAACGAATAAATAGGTGCAAAAAACGATCAAACCATCAAGGTTTTAGGTACTGAAATCTACGAAAATACTAACTTTTTTATATACAATTCCACATGGAAATATTCTTATAACATTTACTTGCTTAGTCCTACATATAAAATTATTTTCTTTTATTTATAAGTACGTGAAAATAATTCTTAAAATGTGGGGTTAGGATAACAGCAAACGCATGTTTTACAAACGCTTTTTTGATTGCATAAAATATTGTGATACCATCAGCTCATTTTAAACTCAAATATAAAATAATTCTTGATTCCTAGAAAATTCTGCTGTGTATAATTCATTTCTTCAACATTAAACTGCATTAAATTATATGAAATTATATTTTAAAATGAAATAAACCTGTCAGAAACGCTGAAAATAATAGTTAAATTCATAATTAAAATGTAGCCAAGTTATAATAAGTTTAGTCTTGGTAAATTCATATAAGTGTACACTACATTTGCAAAAAATACCATAATAGCGCCATACAATGTGTGGACTTGTCCCTATACAATTTCTATATCTTATAATAATATTAATAATCCAGTTATCACTCTAAACATATAGTTTATGCTTTGTGCTTGGAGTACGTTTACACAATAAGTTATTTCCAACATGTCAAATTAGTGAAAAGCAAAGTTATATCCAGAGCAAAATTCTTTAGATCGTTAACACAAAAACTATTTGCAGATCACCCAACCCTTGACTATGGACATACTCTTTTTCTTAATTGTCATAAAGCAACTAAAAAAATTGTGTACATGTTTTTTCTGTCAGCTGTCTGTGCAATCCTTTAAATTAATATATTACAAAGATTTTCTCAAAAATTTGCTACAAGATGTAACTTAGAAATACTTAAACCATTATTCAATTCAAGAAACTAACTTGTGCATGTAGACCCATTGTATAGAGGATACCTTTTGGAGATAAAGCTTTCCACGCAGCAACCTACTTGCACTCTTGTTTAAGGTTATATCCCCATGACGCTACACAAGATCAGCACTTCATCATCACAACATTCAACTGATACGTAATCTCGATGGATTTAAGAAAACACCTACACACATATGTAGTAAAAACCAATTTTTTTAGACTATAAAAAATACATAGTCTGCAACATCGAGGCAACATATTTTGATGTTGTGAGGACACAGACTACAACGTGCAATGTAAACATCCTAATTCTGACAAGACGAGCATGACCAGTGAGCTTATTAGAACCAACAGACAAGACAATAACAGACAAAAATAAATAAAAAAATTCTTGATAATTCTGATGAACAATTCATACTCGAAACTAAAGATCGTAGTCAATACCAATCAGTATCTGGTACCTAAAGTTATGACCTGAGTATCAAATTTTTATCGAGTACTCGATTGGTATTTCTAATTTTAACCAGTAAAGAACTTTATTATTAAAATATACGTAATTACCATCATTATATAACAAATATTCCGATTTCTTGTATATCTACATACATAAAATAACTATAATCATTCCTCAAATTTCATTTTGTCATCAGGAAAATTTTCTATAAGGCTAATCACCTAATAAAAAACGGTTTAGATTCCACATTGCATCATCAAAATATGACCTCTTTCATTTTCACCAGCCGTCACTGTAAATATTATACTAGATTTTTTAAGTACTGAACTGCTGAAATTAATTAACTGCAAAACTAGTTTAAAGTATTGCTATAGAAGAATTTAAAAATCAAAATAAAGTTTAAAATATTAAATCATAAAAAAACCTTCACAGTAATAGTATCAATGCATCTTTTACTAAGGCAATGTGTTCAAACTTAAAAGGTTGCCACAAGTTAGACAAGGGCAAAGTGGTCCAAATATATTGTCTACACAGAACTTAAATATTTGCATGCTGCAGCTTTGGTTGTTTGTTTTATGTTGTTAACTTTGTAATAAAAGTTGTGATATATCTTCGTATTACTTTACAAACTTTTTAGTGCATATTCATGTGTATGCATAAATTCAATAACAAATAGAATTCTGGCTGTAATTACTAATGTTACAATAATTTAAAAAAAAAACAAAGTGTTGAAACTTGAAAAACAATAATCTTTTATTAATATTAAATAAATTAATTTAAATAAAATAATGAAATATATTTTTCTTTTTTCATGAGTTTAAAACGTCTTCATTAATATTATAAATATTTTTACATTAATATTAATAAAAAATAATTATATAAGTGGACAAATTATTATATCAATTTTTTCCCTAGTTTTTGGTTCATGTTGTTCTAATCAATTTATGTAGCTTTATTATTACATACATTGATTTGTTCTTATACTATGCTGGCCATGGCTCAATTACAAATAGAAATAAAGAAATAGATAAGGAAATCCATAACGATAAACAAATACATCCAATTGCCAGAGGAACAAACTCATCTCATGTTACGTTAGATGTTTACTTCTGAATCCATTATTTTTTCTTACAAACTATTCTGCTTATTGTAATATAGGAATGGCCAACCTGGTATATTGAAAGACAGAACAATTTTTTGGGTTTGTATAAAATACTTAAACTCATACATAATATAAAATCGACAATTTACTATCTAGGGGACAAATAATCTAACAGATCAGTTAAAACCTGTTTACCAGTTTTAAGTTTTTATTCTTTATTTTACAAATAAATTATAAAGAAAAGTTACATTAGAAATACTCTTGTAATACATGCAAAATTCAATTTTACCCTTAATATACAAAATATATTTTTTGTTGTAACCGAGATATGTAATTAACAATTCTTTTAAAAATTTTGTTTACTTACGTCACTTCAAATCACTTAATGATTTAAAAGTTTATGTAGCCATGATAAAATCCAACAAATATTTGCATAACTTATTGTATACTTGGACTGTCTGTACCACTACTATTGTTGTCCCCAGAAGCAGATGTAACGGATACTCCTTTACCCTTTTTAGCAGTCTTAGAAAGACTTGCAACTTCTTTAAGAAGACTGGAAATACGATTGTTTAAAGAATCCACTTTATCTTCATGTTCCTTTTGAACCGTCTTCAGTTTTTTTCTGAATTCATTTTCAGTAGTAAAATTATTTGCTTTAAGTTCTGTAATCTAAAAGCAAGAGCACGTAAAAGTGGTAATGTAAAATAAAATTCATGCAAAAAATATTAAGTAACATTTTAACAGGGTGTCTGTATGAAAATAGTCCAATTTATATAAGTTATCTTAGTACCTAGTTATTTCCTTAAAAACTGACCAAAAAAAGAAAAAAAAGACTATTTTTTTAAGATACTTCTGTTGCTTTTAGATATTTCAATGACATTTTCTTTTCAGGAAGGTTTTTAGAATAGCCGAAGATGAACACAGGCTTATTTCATACCTAAAGGAAAAAGGTCTTTAAGAATACCTAAAACCAGTATTCTGTTTTTTGAATTTTTGGTTGGTTGAGATTTTGCTTATGTAACGTTAATTTATTTACTTTAAAAAGGTACACCTGTTTCACGTTACTAATACGCATCATTCCAATGGAAAATGGCTTTTAATTTTCTGCCAAAGTTACAATGAACCGATTTTTCGTAAATCCACTGCCAAAGAGCTAGAGAAGATACATAGAAAAGGTGAAAAATGAGGCAGGTGTTCCAGGTGTCATTTTTTTTTAAGGGCAGCATTTTAACTCATGATAACACAGGTATACAAAAAAAGTGAGTCCTTATGTGGATGAGACCCATGTCACTCTATACAGCGTGTTAGAAGTTTGACTGCCTTAATTTTAACAGACGATAGCATACATTAAAATAAACAAAAAAACCTTATATGACATGGGTCCTAAACTCAACCATTTCCGAGAAAAAAATTTATCAAATTCTCCAACTTGATGTACAAAAGTTCGATTAATTAAGGAATATTGACATAACTGCGTGCATAGAATACCACAAAATACAATGTTTATCACTTTTTTGAACTTTATGCTTAATTCTAAAAAATAATTAGTGTTGTAAATAAATTCAAAATTCGATAAAATTCATATCGAGCAATGTGACCATGGCGCGGCGGATAACACGAGGTACTAATCTATCCAGCAATACACAATTCAGTTGGTATCTGGAATTGGACCGTATCTGAGTGTTTTTTGCGTACCACTATTTCCTTTTTTTGAGGTGTTTTCTAGCGTGTGCGAAAATTGGGTTCAAAGGTGCCGTGCGTGCATCGAAAATGGTGGTAGACATTTTGAGGATATGTTGTAATTTGTTTTTTCGTAAGTACCTAAATTATTTTTAATACGTATGATTATTTGGACGACGTGAATCTTTGGATACTTTAATTACATATTTTTAAAATTCATAATTTGATTAAAAGTTAAGTTTCTGTATTAAGAGATTCATAATTACTAAAATTCGAGCTAAAATTTAAGCACAACACTATCTTCATACTATGAAATCGATACAATTTACTAAATGTTTCAGAATAATAGTTTACATTTTTACCAGTGTAGCGTTAGGTTAAGCGCTGTTGTCACGTCATGAAACTCCCCAATATTAATACTCGCTGTATTTTGAAAACTGTTAATCTTACGCCCCTGTAATATACAACTTTTTTGTTCATTTATGATTACTCTATCTCATACTGAAGTAATGGTAGTCAAATTTCTTACACCCTGTATATTTGGAACTGCAGAATCCAAATCTGCCACAGGAAATGAACTATCAGTTTTCAGTTTTTTTTTTAATTTCCAAAAGCCACTCCTGGGGCTCATTGCATAATTTGAGTATCCAAAATCTCAATCAACCCTTGTAACCCTTCAGCTTTCAGCAAACACCAGAAACCCACTTTTAATTTTAAAAATAAGTTATTCTACACTCGGCAAATTCACGTCACCGTCAAACCATGAATTTACAACCCATAGTTAGTGAGATCCATGAACACAACAAACAAATGAGTGAAGCGAGCTTATTTAATGTCATAAATTCCTATCTCACAGATATTGTATATAACACGATCCTCTCTCTCAATAACAGAGGCACGACATGCAATAATAAAATCAGTCTTGCAACCCTGCAGTTCTTGGTAGATATCCGAAATCACCTACTTCCCGAATTAAAAAGTTTTTCTGAGATTTTTGTCGTATTAATAAAAATAAAAGTAAATTTACCGACATTTTATATTAACTTGTTTTTTTCTATGGAAAGTTTCTTTTTGCTTCAAACGCCAAATACTCTGGTGTCAGTCCTGATCTGGCTTGGCCACATCTCATTAAATATTGACATTTGAAGTTAGCGTCAATCTTAAAACATATATAATCTAGCTTGTTTAGTAAAAAGATCAGTTTAATTAGAATGCCTTCAAAAACCCAGCTGTCCTTATTAACAACAGTAGTAGAAGTCCATTTTTCTCCACAATAATGCATTTTAGTGACATGCAATAAGTACACATTTTTTAAGGCAAATAAAGTGAGATTACATAAAATATCTGCTATATTTTCACAAAATCTTTACCAAAAAAAAAAATATGGAAAAAACCAGAATACTGTTTAAGATACTTTTTAGTGACTCTGTAAGAGGCAAGCCTATGTTCATCTTCAGCTAACCCGCCTTGATCTTAATCATTTATTTTCATCCAGGGAAGTTACTGAAGTATGGCTCATTTACTTCCGAGCACCATACATAATTTTGCAATTTGACATTGGTTAATTTTATTGCAATCATGTTTAACAAACATAGCAACTTCGAACATGTATAGATGTTTTCTATACCAAAGCAACTCAAAAATTATAGTAGTTACAGAGTAAAAAAAGGAGATATACATGTAGACATTAAATCTTATTATTCACAATTTTGCAACAGTTCCAACGCCTACATATACAGGTATCTCAAAGTGTATTTAATTATTTTATGATTAAGTCATGTTACTTCAAAGATACATCATTTTAAAAAACAACTTTTAAAGAAAAAAAAACCTCATTAAAAAAAACATTATTATTTGCAACAGTGCACAGATATAACAGGACAAGGTAAAATCAGTCTTTATATACCTACTGAAACATAAACAGTTAACTGAATTTAGACACGTAATAATCAATTAAATATTAAAAATCTTACTAACATATTTTTTATTATTTATGTTTCAGGTTTTTAACGTTTGTCATAACTGATTTAAAAATTTTTTTAATCTTACAAGGTGTACAGGAAATGGTTAGAAAAAAAAAAATGAAATTCAATTTCATTTATTAAGCTGTCAAGTTGGGACTGTCAAGTTAGATTTGTCTTCTCAAAACGAACCTAATGAGGCATCATTCACTTCTCTATTGAGAGGTTTAAAGTTAGAAAGTTCCTTCATACCATGTTAGATGCGGTTTACTTTTAGCTTTCAATCAGTACATTTTGTGTCAATGGAGTGTTTTGCCTTTTCAGTATTGCCATAAAATGACAACATGGTAATAAACTTGATCCATATTTTGTATGAGATCATTATTTAAATGGCACTATTAAAAAATATCAAAGCGAAATGAATTTGGTGGACAGTAGGGATATGCTAGATCATACTTTAAGGAGGATTATTATTTTTTACCCAATATAGGTATACGATGCTATGTGATTACTCGCACAGCTGATTGAACCTATGAAATGTATGATGAAGTCAGTTGAAGTTGAAGCTGAAGTCAGTTGAAAGAAAAATATGTGACCAAAAGAAAGTATGAGTGCTTGAGAATTACAACAGAAAATAGCTACAGCTTTTTGCAAAGAACTTCTGTGTATTTTAGATTATCTACAAACTGTGATCAGGAAGTGACAAATGTTCCTTATAAGACAAGGTTTAAAGCGATTGCATTTATGAAAGTATAATACAATTTGATAATATAGTAGTATTATACTGCGATACGATGTTATTGTAGCCAAAAATATTCTAAAAAATATACTGAAATTATTGAAATATTAATTTAAAAATGAAAAATAATATTAAAGATGTCATAATTTATCAAAATGCATAAGATTGTTATATGCGCTGTGATGCAAATTATAAATATTTCATTGTTTATATTTTTTACTTCTTGTATTGAAAGTTTATGGTACTTCATAAATAAAAAAAAATTAAAAAAACAAATCATTTGAAAATTTCCCATTTTATTTTATTTTTCCAAATTGAATTACACAAATAAACACAAGTTGAATGTAATTCATTTCTAATTACTAATTCGTGTATCGAAACGTTTATTTAAATTTCCTGTCACCTATCCTCATTCATACTCTATTGTGGTGTTACCATTACTCTTTCACGTTTATTACTTGGGGGATGACAAGTGAGAACTTTTTATGTTAATGTTAATTTATTTCTGTGTGAAATGTACGGTAACCTACTTTTTTCTTTCCCTCATCTATTAATTAATGATTCAAGTAAACAAAAACAGATCGATAAATAATTCGAGAATAATTCAAAGAATTTGATTTCGCATTGAAAAAATAATATATCTCAATAATATGAAATTGGCTGCATTTTTTCGTAGCACCCGATCCTTCTTAAGTGCACCATCTATTAATAGAAATTTCAAATAAAATTTTATACCACTTGTCACTATATATTTAATAATAGAAGGGCAGAGAGGAGTTACTTAAATAAGAAGTTTTCTGTAATAACATGTTCATATCAGATTGTAGATTCCAGAGTTCAAATGATTACATTGTTTTCCTTAGATATAAAAAATGTTAACTTTTTACTTTAGAACTAGCGTTTCTAATTATTATTTACATACAGCTTGTTGCCAATCAAAATTGAAGCAATAATGCGTGCAATATTGATGAGGTATACAAAAAACAAAATACTAACAATAGTTCTGACTGTATGAAGATAAAAAAGTAGTATGTATTCGATACAGTTGTATTTGTACGTTATAGCTTCCTAAAAATCAATTAGCATTTTATTACCTTGGTAAGCTTTGGTTGCTTTACTGTTATTGTATATACGAATCTAAACTGACACGAGAATTGTCATTTAAAAGTTTGTCATTTAGAGTACAAACTAGATACTATTTTTTCTTTCCAGAAATGGGTTGATGACAATAATGGTGTACGATTTTAATAAAAATTTTACAATAAAAATCTTTCTGCAAAAGATTTCAA